TAGAAGGAGAAAACTTCTATACAATTGTCCTCTGACCCCCGTCCCTTACACACACACATAAATACATAAACATTTGTGAAGTCTCTGCATGCGCTCCCCCTCTGCCCCCCAGACATCAGAGCAGACCCTTTGTCCTCTCCAAAGAGCAAGGACAAGATAGCTTCACAATTCCCTTTTACTTTTTCTTATGGCAGAAATGACTGGTTCTGGTTAACCTTACTCAGGATATTGTTTCCTTTTCCCCCTCTCTTTTTGAGTCAATGTAAATAACACAACACGAAGCAGAGACAACTTTTGAACTGACATTATTTCCCTGGAACTTCTAAGTACTGAATACTCCATTTGTTCAAATAATGTTAAATATTTTTGTTTACTTGAAAAATATTTAGCTGCCAGTTTTATCTTAACTATTTTCTTTATTATTTTGGTTTTCATTCTAATGGACAGCTGTTGGACTCTGGTTTCCCTGAGAGTAGGCCTTGGAGATCAAGGGAAGCATTTCCATTGATGTGTCCACTAGAGGGCCACTGGCCACAGCAGGCGTGGATGAGGTGCATCTATCAGTAGAGGATTGTCTCTTATTTTCTGAGAAACAAATGAAAAGTATTTAAAACTATACTGAGTGTCAGGGACTTTTAGACCCAAGGGAATTTAACAGAACACACTCTGAGAGAATAAGATTGAAAGTATATAATTATTGTTTACATTCTGTAAATGTCTTTGTAAAATACTATTGGGCATGGGGCTTGCTCTGAGGTGTGGTTAGTATACCAGCTGTCACGCCATTAAAGAAATGGACTTTTCTTCTTCCAGCAGCAGTTAAGTGCAGTAGCTCCTGATAGGAGAAGGACCTTGTGCCCATCTCCCTCTTCCATGCTAGGCCTTTGTTTGGCTTGAACTTTGGCAGGTCTTATGCATACTGCCACAATCACTGTAAGTTCACATGTGTATCTGCCCTGTTGTATATGAACAGAAATTACAGTGACCTTGAAATGATCCACTCCTACTCCCTCTGGATCTTACAATCTTTTGGGGGTGTGTGTGTCAGGATTGGGACAAGGTAACCTCGGCTGCACTAGAACTTGCTATGTAGACCAGGTTGACCCTAAATTCCTAAGAGATCCTCCTGCCTCTGCCTACTGAGTGCTGGGATGAAAGGCAGGCACCGCTATGCTCTTGGCTTTCTTACATTCTTCCCGCTTTTTTTCCCCACATAGATGCTTGAGTCTGGAGAGAGGGGTGTGGTAGAGACATCCCACTTAGGTCCAGCACTCCAAACTCTCCTAGTCTCTGCATGCTGGCAGGTCGTGGGCGTCTGAGTGAACTGTCCTCTACGTGAGTGATGAAGGCTGAGGGAGGCGTTCATTGATGGGCATACCAGCAAGTCATTAGGAGTCATTCTGTTGTTTTGTCCATTTAGCAGGGTGATAGCAGTGCATTTCTCTTTGCCTTGTGTGTGTGTGTGTGTGTGTGTGTGTGTGTGTGTGTGTGCGTGTCCGTGGCCTGAAGTGCAAAAATATACAACACCGTATAAACTCAGCAGCACATTTTCAGTTATGGATATTTTCCATTTTTTCTGCATATTAAGTCAGGACTTAGTGAATTGTTGTCTGCCAGTGTTTAGTCAAGGTATGGCGACCTAATAGTGAGCCAGAGACACAGAAGTCTCCCCTCTAAAGAGGCCACAGACAGTAACACGTGTGTAAGCCAAATACCTAGGTAGTATATCTCTAATAGGTGGCAGAAAAATCAGATTCAATAGGAAAGAAATGGAAGGATCAGGGCACACTAGGTTGTCCTGGAGATGCTTTGCTAAGAAGGGGACATGTAAGAAGTGATAGTGGCCATGTGGGTGTCTTGTAGGTTGTGTAGAACAAGTGATGGTTAGAGTAGTGGGCTAAGGACATGTAACCATGTAGAATAAGATTATTCAGGTCAGAAAGGGCCTTGTAAGTACTGCAGCTTCTCCGTAAAGACCAGTAACCAGTAGAGAGTCTAAGTAGCATGGCCTGTAATTCTGCTTCGCATGGGTGGTAACTCGGGGGGGGGGGCCGGGCCCCCACAGAAATGGGTTTAGTTGAGGAAGCTCTTATAGTATCAGCAAAAGATAGTCAGACCCTGACACATCTGGGCTCTTTGTACACATGTGAACATGTACCTGCATGTACATGTGCACAGCCACAAACAAGTATAAATGTACACACACACACACACACACACACACACACACACACACACACCATCTTATAATAGGACACACCGTCGAGCCACTGATGATGGGAAAAGAGTTTCAGAAGTAAGTGGATCTGGAGTGTATTTTGATAGTTGAACTAATGGAAACGTTTATGAGTTAGATATGGGATATGAGATAGCCTGAAGAATCTAGGGTAGCTGCTAGAGCAACTGAAAGGGTGGCATTACAGGACTTGGGATGGGTGAGCGAGTTCAGTAAGCTGAAGTTATATGATCCATGACACAGAAAAGCAGGGGTCTCCCTGCTATTATCAGTCTGGAATTTGGAAGAGTAATCTGGTTTAGGTACATGAATTCTATAATTTTCAATTTTGTACATGCATATTATTATCTTACATTTTTTAAATGTACATGAATGGTGTATCCTATTATAAGATGGTGTGTGTGTGTGTGTGTACATACATATATACTTGTTTGTGACTGTGCACATGTATATGCGGGTACATGTTCACATGTGTACATAGAACCCAGATGTGTCAGGTGTCTTCCTCTATTATTCTACTTTTTTATACAGAACCTGTCACTGAACCTCAGTTCCTCAAGGCTGGCTGGCCATGAGCTTCAGGGATCAGCCTGAAACACAGGAACATTGTTAATTGTGTTCATAACTGCATACTTCTATAAATTCTAGACTCATCTGGATATTTTATGTAGATGACCATATTAAAAGAACACATTGAAGCTGAAAGATAGCTGTGGTGGTAACGTGAGGACCTGAGTTCAGTCCCCAGCACCCCCATTAAAGCCGAGTATGCAGGCATATGCTTGTAATCCCAGTGCTGGGCAGATATAGACAAAAGGACCCATGGAGCTCACTGGCCAGACACCCTAACCTAGTGGATGAGCTCAGGGTCCCACTGAGGGATGGCATCAGAAATTATGGTAGCCCAATCATGATGTGAAGAAGGACAGCACCACTAGACGTGCGTATGTGGAAGGAGTAAAGCTCCCCAGTCCACCACACACACGTACAACATGATAGAGCCATAGTTATAAGTAGCAATGATTTGTTTCTCTTCTGTTTTTGTGCCTTTCAATTTGTGTATGTTTGGAAATAGCATATACACCACATGTGTGTCTGGTGCCCACAGAAGCCAGAAGGGTCAGTTCCCTTGAAACAAGAGTTACAGATGGTTGTAAGCCATCATGTGGGTGCTGGGCACCAAAACCAAGTATTCTGAAAGAGCAGCAAGTGCTGTGAATCTTTGCCTCGGCTCTTCAGGCCCCACATTTATGTTTTTGATAGGTAAACTTTATTATTAATCTCTGCAGGCTTTTTTTCTATGACAGAGCATCTTCCAATTCCTAGAACAAACTTTACTTTTTATGGATTTTTCTTATTAGCTTTTTATACTAATATCTGTTAGAATTTTTGTTAAGTTTGTTAGAAATTTATTAGAAATTTGCTTCTGTAATAACATTTGGTCATGAAATGATGAAGCAGAGAGATATGTTATGTGTTACATGACTTACATTGGCTATTTAAAAGCATAGTTCTGCTAGCTCACAATAAAAATCCCTATTGTCCCATACCTGGATTATTTTAGTTCCTAGGGGATATAATATTTCGGTGTCCATAGAACATAAAGGGAATAAAGCCAGTCATCATATTAGCTTTATTCTTATGTATATGTGTGTTATGATTCACAGTTTTACTTCATAGTGCTTAAAACCATTGTTTCTGTGGTTTGTTTGGTTTTTTTTAACCTTGAACCAATAAATCGGAGGTCTGTATCGCAGCGTCAGTAGTTCGTTCTTTACAGTTACACCTGGGAATACAAAGGAGTGCTTACTTCTCTTGAAACTGATGGAGGAACAAAGTATAAATCAGAGATCTTTCCCCTAAAAAACTTTTGTAAAAACAGATTTATGATTTTTTTTGAAATGGGAGTCTCAGTTTATAGTTCTGGCTGGCCCAAACCCTGCCTCTGCCTCCTGAGTATTGAGATTAAAGATCTGCATATACCACCACAGTTGGCATTTATAAAGTATTTTATACCACTAAAATGCTCTTAAGTTTTTTATATATATAGATCTATAAATGTGAAATATGTATGTATGGAAGAAGTTTTTTCTTAGTGTAATTAATTTAAGCGTTCTCTTTTATTATATTGAGATGATCTGTTGGTCATTTTAAGATTTTCTTAAGTTTTTAAAGCTGATTTTCAGGCTGATATGATAAATTAGCCTTTTTGAACTTTTAAAGTTTTATTTAAAAAATGAACAGCTAATATTAAGAGATGTTGTGTTCCCATGTCTATTTTGTTCCTCATTTAAGCATGCCATTAGCAGTACCCAACCTGTGTAAAGTGATGGGGGAAGAAGTGTTTTCACCTTTTTTCCTATTTTGGTTCCTACACTTCCTTATTGGTCCTTGACCTTCCCCCAAGTTTTCCAGGTTTTGCACTCATTTACTAAAATGTTAATTCATGTTATTCTACTGGGACTATTTCCATTCCTAAAAAAGAATGATTAAGGAAATTTATAACTGAGATACCCATGCACCAAGAACAACACAGAAGGGTTAACAAATGGATTAATGTGGGAGAGGACTGCTGGCTGCTGGCCATCAGTGTTTCAGGCAAGGTGTTTACTCGCGCCCTCCTGAGTAGGCAGAAGGCTGTCCTGCTGCAGAGGTCTGTCAGGCAGATTGTACCACTACTACTATTGCTGTAATTCAACCACTGACACGTATTACTCGTCATGCTAGCTTGAAATCACATCCCCTTTTTGTTTGTTTGTTCAAGACTGAAAGAGCATATTCTTTTTGTGGAACTATTGAATACATGGCACCAGATATTGTCAGAGGGGGTGATTCAGGACATGACAAGGTATGTTCTACTTTTGATCCTTCTTTGTGTATTTCCAGAAATTGTGCAGTAAGACTGAATTCTCATTAATAACGTCTTAATCAGAGCCTTATTTCTTTATTCTGTGTGCTTGAACACACTATGAATTTTAACATTTTGTATTGAAAAAACACAAAATTTAAGATATTTTAGATTTAAGGTTTCATTGATGAAGTCTTTTGTTTTGTAGAGTGACATTCTTGTTAAAGTTGGGACCTTGGAGTTATTCTTCAAATAATTATAAATAAATAAATAAATAAATAAAATTTATTTCTATTGATGAGTTTAAACAAAGCACCAAATGTGATTCCATTCAAAAAATTTTTCTGTTGTATGAGGCTCGTTTGAACCAAGTGTAATATAGAAGTGTGACTGAATACCTAAGCTATGTATGTGGCTCCTCTCTGCATCACGGGGAGAGATTTTGACCAGAACATTATTGTCATGGCTAAGTTCTTCAGGAAAAATACAGAAAGAGATGGTGGTTGTGTTTGGCACCTTTGGTTAGTAAGTCCTAACAAGATGTTGAGAGGCCACTGAAGAAGAAAACCACTCATTTTATTCCCAGTTGGCCTTTAACTTCATAAAGATTTTGATACCTTTGTTGATTACTCTTTAACAGAAATAGCATTTTTTACAACCTTGAAAGGGAAATTCTACACTCAAAATACAGTCTGTTTTCCTAACCCTCAAAGAGCTTGATTTTTTTTCTCCCTTATCCTCTCCCTTGTGTATGTGCCTATGAAGATAATAAAGAAGCTGTCAGCTCTAAGTTGTTATAAAATCTAGGCCATTTTCCCATTCTGTATTAAAGGCTAACACTTTCCTATCACTTTTGATTTATTAATAATGTTCCCAAATGAATCTGGCTGGTTTGTCCCCTTTAAACACACCACATATAATTTCATTGTCTACGGTGAATGCTTGGTCTTGTTTTTATGACCAGCCCTATGTCTACCAAGCATGTTCTCCAAGTTAAAATCTGATCTCAGGTGTGTATTAGCCAAATCAGCATGGTTTCATGCCCAGTGCAGGACATTCTGAGAGCACTGACTCGACTGGCATTACAACTGCATCTAGGAATTTGGGAGTTAAAATGCTACTTTAATTTGCTTTATGATATAATTTAAAGCTATCATGCAGTTTAATATGAATTAATAACTTAGATTTTGAAAATTATCTACTAAAGCTTAGTGGAATTGGGGCTGGATAAATGGCTTAGCAGTTAAGAGCTTAGTAGAACCAATTTTTAAGTAAGAAAACTTTGTATTATACCTAGAATTTCTACATGGTTAAGATCCATGTTAGCCAAAAAATAATCTCTTGAATATTTATTGTTCAGATAATTTGTAATTGTTCTTCTAGTTTAGAGTACATTTTATTTTCTGTTATTTTAAATCTCCCCATAGTTGGGGATACTTAGATACGTTCTGTAAGAAAATTGACTTGGAGGGAGGTTTAAAAATAACACCCTTGTGTGAGATTCTTATATTTTTGCCTTTGGGTTTAAGGAATTCCATCTGGTTCTTTGGGCATGAATACTTTATAAAATGTGGTTGATACTCCCCAACACCCACATCCTAAGTCCAATGTTTCACCTATCTAAACTTTTTGAAAAGTATCTTTAAGTTAACTTGTTTTAAATTAACAACGGTAAAACTGACTAATTTAGGAAATTGTTAAAGTACTTGCTGTTCTGGGAATATGTAGGCATTTGTCTTCTGAATATCTCTTACATGTAGTAACTTAGTACTCCTTGCACAGAAAGCTATAAAAACTGTTTTTTGTTTTTGTTTTTTTTTTTGGTTTTTTTTGTAAAATAATTTTAAGTATATACCTTTATTTTGGTCCTTTTTATACTATATATTTTAGTTACTAAGTGTAACTAAACAGAATGAAATTGTTATTGTCTTATAGGCAGTTGACTGGTGGAGTTTAGGTGTTCTAATGTATGAGCTACTAACTGGAGCATCTCCTTTCACTGTTGATGGAGAAAAAAATTCCCAGGCTGAGATATCTAGGTAAGACTTAAACAAATGCCATAAAAAGCATTCCTAACAAGTATCACAGTTGCGGTGTTATGGTTTTGTCCTATTTTTACTTGAATTTTTTCCAACACTGAGAACAGATTTGACAGAAGTAAATATTGAGTCCACTTCAGTGGACATGAAGTAACAGGGATCAGTTTGCCTTCTTGCCTGAAACAATTTTAACAATGGAAAAAAAAATATGTGAAACAGCAGTTTTCAGGACATTGGACATCTGACGATGGAGGGCAGAGGTTTCAAAGATACAGAAAATAAACAAGGTATGCCGTAAGATTGTCCCAGATAACTACCGTAAGAGCTCCCAGGATGCAACAAAGGGAAAGACACCCATGATACATTGAAGAAATAGAACCGATGGTCTAGGGAGACCTGGACAGCTAGTTTGCTGACTGCAGTGCCTGAGTGGAGGGATTGGAGTCCAGAGATTGGCAGAAGTATTGTTATGTGGAAAACACACACAATAAAGTGTTTATTATTTTATAGTTATTTATATCATAGTTACTTTTCTTCAGATTGATCTATAGAGTCATTGCAATTACAGTTCCTACTGGCTCTGTTTGTTTGTTTCTTTGTTTGTTTGGTTTAGTAGAAACAATCTGACCTAAATTAGCAATTTAGGGAAAGATGAAGAGGACCTAGACTAGCCAGATTATCTTTGAAGAAGAACAAAATTGATTTCAAGACTTATTCTAAGCTGTAATGATTGCACACTTCGGTTTTGGTATCAAGACAGACATACTGTGTGCCTGCAGTCCAGTACATGGAAGGTGTAAGCAGGAGGACTGCTATAAGTTCAGGCTAGCCTGCCTGGTCAGCATAGCGAATGCTAGAGCAGCCCCAGCTATACATGTATCAAGACCTGTTCTCTAAAACGTAAACAGAAGAAGATAGAGAGAGGGCGAGAGGAAGGATAAGAAAAGAAGATAAGCTAAGAGGATAGAGAGCCAAGAGATAACACTATGTGCACAGGCGGCAGACTTTTGACAAAGTGTCAGTTACCTGTCACTTGGGAGGGGCTTTTCAATAAACGATGCTAGAACCACTGGCCGCTCTGGAGGGAAAAATATGAACGTCAGTAAATGCTTAGTACTGTATAGAAAAAAAGAAACAGTAGACCTAAATGTAAAAGTTATAACTATAAAATGGTTTTTTTAAATCTGTAGGACTGGGAGATGCCTCAACAGATAAGGACACTTGCTGTTGAAGCCTAGTAACCTGAGCTCAGTCCCTTAAAACCACATAAAGGTGGAGGAGAAAGCCATAAGGTTCCCTCTCACCTGTGTGTCATGACACTTGCATCCCCTCCTTGAAATTAATTTTCTAAAATTCTCTGTGGTCTTGCATCAGCTAAAACATTTTTAAGTAGAACAGTCAATAAAAGAAAGTGTTTATAAACTAGACTGTTTCAAGGTTAAATATTTCTGTCCTTTAAAACATTAAGAAAGTGAAAGTGACAAGTCACTGTAATAAAAATTTTAAATCATACATCTGATAAAGTTCTGATACAAGAAATATATAAAAACTTAAGGAAATAACCAATCCCATGTACAATAGGCAAAAACAATGAACAGACATTCAGCAAAGATCATCAGTGAAATTTATAGCAGATAAATGTGTGAGAAGATAAGTGTGTCATTGGTCTTTAGGGACAAACAGATTGCAGCCACAGGAAATACTACTATATACTATATACTATATACTATATACTATATACTATATACTATATACTATATACTATATACTATATACTCGCTCAGCTGGCTATGAGTAAAGGCAGTGGCCATGCCAGATGTAAGAAGACTATGGAGGAGGCTGGGCAGTAGTAGCACACACCTCCCAGCACTTGGGAGGCAGAGGCAGGTAGTGCTCTTAGGTCAAGGCCAGCCTGGTCTACAGAGTGAGTTCCAAAACAGCCAGGAATTCAGAGAATACTCTGTCTTGAGAAACCAAAATCAAAACAAAACAAAAAACAAAAGAATATGTAGGAAATGCAAGGGAGTGTGAGCAGGGAAACATACAGTTCAGTGTAAGTAGTACAGTGTTAGAAAAGGGCCAGTTTCTTTAAAGTGCAAAATATCTAATATATGACATCCATTCTAGCATTCAGTGTTTATGAGGGAGAACAAACATGCTTACAAAACCTCCTACAGCAAGTAATCCCAAATTGGACAAGTATCCGTCAACAGTGGTTAAACAAATTATGCAATATCCATGCAAATGAAGAGCTGCCTAGTGGTAAAAGTGTACACTGTATTCATACATACAAAAAGTTGGGTAAGTCTCAAAATAATTGTAGTGAAAGAAGCCAGACAATATAGAGCATTTGCTCTATGATTCCAGTCCTGGAGAATGTCAGCAACAGGGAGAAGAATGGTGATTAGTGTGAGACTGGCAAGGGAGGAGAGAAGGAAGAAACTGCAAAGGAGCATGAGAAACTTTGGAAGAGGATGCATTTCTTCATTATCTTGAGTGTGGTGCCAGTATTACCCTTACATACACAAAGCAGACCTCATCCAGTTGCAGTTTGTGTGAATTTATGTTCATACATCGTATGTCAATAAAGTAAAATAGTAAGATGTACCATTTCCAGGACAGCCTCAGACATAAATAACTTTAGTATTTCAGCTTACTTAGTATCTAACTTAAACAAGCAGGGACATTGTTAAAATCAGCTAAAATTATACCTGTTATAAAAATTCTAAATACTATTTTTAAATTGTAATTTTAATGAAGTTTGAAAATTCTTCAGGTGGAGTGTGGTGATTCACATCTATAATCCAGCTGTTTGTGAAGTTGAGTCACAAGAGTTACAGCTTTAACAGCCTAGGCAGAATTGTGACACTCCCATCTAAAAAAAAATTCATAAACTTTTTGGAAAAATGCCTCAAAATTATAGGAGATCTTGGCTATCAGTGTGAGAATTTGGGTTCTGGTTTCCTCCCACTCTAGATCTGCCTGCTTATAGAGAGAAGTACATCGTTTGTGATACCAGAGATTCTTTTAAGTGCCATTCACATTTTAAATGATTTTGTTTCCTTTCCATCAACCATTTGGCATTCTGGTTTTAGCAAGTGAAAGATCCTGAATCAAAATCTGTCTGAAATCTTTAAACTAAAACAAATGGATTTTTAATAATCAAAATACTTACCTTTAATCAGTTTCCTGCTTTTTCAGGTTAATTAATTTTGCTTAAAACTTGATGATAACATGATCATTTGGCAGTTTGGGTGACTGACTTGTCCTACTCCATTTTGTTCTTTTTAGGATAATCATTCTGATTGTACCATTGAATTGTGTCATTGAGATAAGTGTATTATTATCTTGTCTCTGAATGGTTTAATTGGTGGTGGCCTTTTATTTTTTTCACTGAATTCTTGTATTCCCTAATTTTTGTTTTAAGACAGGGTCTCACTATGTAGCCTGGGCTAGCTTGTAGTTTACTGTGTAGACCAGGCTTGCCTCCAATTCACAGAGATCCACCTGCCTCTGCCTATCAAGTGCTGGGATTAAAGGTATATGTCACCATGCCCTTCATCTGTCACTTAATTTTTGTGATCTCCAAGAATTTAGCCTACTAAGGACCAATTCACCCTGTACTTTTTATTTGAGATGCTTCAAAATAATGTATTTTCCTTGTTATTTGCTTGCTATTGTTATCCACTGATAGTCTAAAATATTAAATAAAAGTGTTAGTATATAAAATTTCAAAAGATAGTAAAAACTCAAATGATTAGAAAACCTAAGAGTCCAACTTTCTTCTTCCAGCTAGACTCTCTTCCTTAATGTGGGTGCAATCCCTTATTTGTCTCATGCTATCCATGGACGGGCTGCTAGGTCAACATTTTGTGGATGCTGTATCCCATATTGAGTTGGTTTAATTGTATCTGATCCTCCCCACATATCACACACACACACACACACACACACACGGGCCAAAATTATCTTTTTTGTCACTTCTGATCTTGTGCTGTAAAGAACATATAAGAATTCTGCTTATTCTTTCTAGATGTCGAAGCAGGCAAGCATAGGGATAGTTTAGTAACCTGGGATAGTATGCAGTTTAGGCTCTGCACACATCCCTCTTCTAATAATGCACTTAGCAGACAGAGCCCCTCATCCGTGCTAAGACACATAGAGCCCTCTGAACAGTGGAGTTTCTTCCCCACTTGACTGTTAAAACTCAGTTTCTCTTTAGATGCATTTCCAATATATCCTAAACTAAATAAATAAAGCAAAACTCTGATGAATTTTTAGAGATCATGCGCTATTTACCATTTTATGCCTATTCATAATTGGGTATGCATTTGATTAAAATTAGATACTTAATGGAAAAGGACATATAGAGTAGAATTATTTATATGACCTACTCTATCAGCCAAAATAGAGAATCTGTGGCGCTATGCCCTTTAGTAATCAAGGCCCTTGAGTTTCGTGTGGCCTGCAGTGCCTCTGATGTTGTTCTGTGAAGTTGGCTTTGAATAGAATTTCTTGCTGCCTTTGCAATCTGTTTGAGTTTTTATTTCAAGTGTTTGAATTAGAGTCTGAGAATCTGGAATCACCTGGCCCAGACCCCCCCAACCACTGGTAACAGTATTACTGCAGATATTTGAAGAGAGGTTTGTAGAACAAACCTTTTCAGGTCTGTTGACTGTTCCTTAGAAATTATTTCAGATCCCTCACACCAGTTTAGACAGTTAACTTGTTAATTTAGACTTGAATGGTTGCTGTTTAGCTTTCTGTATACCTGTTTCTTATCTTCATCCATGTATGTATCATGAGCTTTTCTTTCTTATGTGCCTTCCCACTAGCTTTCTGACTGTGTAGAACTCTGCCTTTTAGAGCATGTGTTACTTCTGAACAGGAAGATACTGCTCCATCAAGAGAGCCATTCTTCTACCTGCTCCTATAGGATGGGCCACGAAAACCATGATAAATGAATATCTTTTCACCTGAAAATCAAGATGTAAATGTTT